TAATAATCGAAACATGGAAGATATGAATCAAGGAAAATGTGAAGTTATCAAAAATGACATGGAATGCATAAAGATTGATACCCTAGGCATTAGTGAGCTGAAATGGACTGATTTTGGCTATTTTGAATCAGACAACCATATGATCTACTGTGCTGGGAATGAGAAACTAAAGAGGAATGGCATGGCATTCATCATCACAAAGAATGTTTCAAGATCTATTCTGAAGTACAGTGCTGTCAGTGATAACGATAATATCCATGCGTCTACAAGGAAGACCAGTTAATACTACTAATATTCAAATTTACACACCAACCACCAAAGCCAAACATGAGGAAATTGAAGATTTTTACCAGATTCTGCAGTCTGAAATTGACCACACATGCAATTATGATGTGTTGGTTATTATTGGTGATTGGAATACAAATGTTGGAAACAAAAAAGAATCACAAGTAGTTGGAAAATATGCCCTTGGTGATAGAAATGACACTGGAATCCTATAATAGAATTTTGCAAGACCAATGACTTATTCATTGCAAATACCATTTTTCAACAATATAAATGGCAGCTATACATGTGGTCTTCACCAGATGGAATACACAGGAAACAGATCTACTACATCTGTGGAAGAGGCAATGGAGAAGCTCAGTATCTTTAGGCAAAACAAGGCCAGGAGCTGCTGTGGAACAGACTGTCAACTGCTCAGCTTGAAGCTGAAGACAATTAAAACAAATCCACAAGAGCTAAAGTATGACCTTGATTATATCCCTCCTGAATTTAGAGACCATCTGAGGAATACATTTGACACACTGAACACCGATGACCAAAAACCAGAGGAATTGTGGGATGACATCAAGAACATCATACATGAAGAAAGCTAAAGCTATAAAACTCATTAAAAAGACAGTAAAGGAAGAAAAGACCAAAATGGATGTCAGAAGAGACTCTGAAACTTGCTCTTGAACAGAGAGTAGCTAAAGCAAATGGAAGACATGACAAGGTAAAAGAGCTGAATAGAAGATTTCAAAGAGCAGCTCAAGAAGACAGTTATTGTAATAAAACGTGCAAAGACCTGGAATTAAAAAACCAAAAGGGAAGAACACACTTAGCATTTCTCAAGCTGAAAGAATTGAAGAAAAATTTAGGTGTCAAGTTGCAATATAGAAAGATTCTACGGGCAAAATACTGAATTATGCAGGGAACATCAAAAGAAGATGAAAGGAATAAACAGAATCACTGTACCAAGTAGAATCGGTTGATGCTCATCCATTTCAGGAGGTGACATATCAAGAACCAATGGCACTGAAGAAGAGGTTGAAGCAGCACTTAAGGAACTGGCGAAGAACAGGGTTCTGGGAATTGACAGAGTACCCACTGAGAAGCTTCAGCAAATGGGTGCCATGCTGGAGGTGCTCACTCGTCTGTGCCAGGAAATGTGGAAGACAGCTACCTGGCCACCTGACTGGAAGAATTCCATATTTTTACCCATTCCAAGGAAAGGTGATCCCACAGAATGTGAAAATTATCAAACAGTATCATTAATATCACATCAAGTAAAATCTTACTGAAGCAAAATTATAGTATGTTTAAAATTTGGTTCTTTATTATGTAATTTGTCATGCTTCATTTTTGAAATAATGTGTTTAATTTATTAATATTCCTTAATTATTTAAAATTATTCCTTAATTATTTCTATCATATTTTTGTCATTTACCTGAAAAGCTAGCTTGTTTCTGCTAAGAATGAGAATCATCACATGATGCCTCAGTGGGTTTGGTATTCCAGTTGTAAGCTTGTATTCGAGAGCCTATGTATCTGGGTATAGATTACTATTGCTTTTTAGTCCAGCTTAGTTGTATGCCATTACGTCCATCCAGTTTACTACAGGTAAGGGTTTGTTAATAGGGAGTCATGTATTTATCTGGTTAACTCAGAAAACCAAACTCACTGCCGTTGAGTCAGTCCCAACTCATAGTGACCCCTCCTTGGGTTTCTGAGGTGGTATCGCTACAGAAGTCGTTCACCCAGTCTTCCTTCTGAGGAGTGGCTGGTGGGTTTGAACCACCAGCCTTCTGGTTAGCAGTCAAATGCCTTAGGTACCATGCCACCAGAGCATCTAAAGGAAAAATAAAAGGGAGGTTTATGTTTTTAGAACTATGTGTGACTAATGCATTATTGAAAGCATTGTATGGAGACGTTACTCCTATAGCAGTGAATTAAAAACATTTTTTTTCTTCAGGCTTTCACAAAAAAGTAAAAGGAGAAGAAAGGTTTTTATATTCTTTCTTCCAGATAAAATTATTCATCATTCATCCTTTATCCAGAAAAAAATTAATCCTTTTAAAATGACAAAAGTTTTGTATTTCAGTGTTTAAAAGTATTGGTAAATACTATGCACCTCTAATCTTACTTGAAACATTAAAAAATAATAATAACAACTAGAATAGCCCTATCTATAAATGTGTATGTATTAGAAACAGACTTTGTTAATTCTAGGCTTGTCTGCTAGTAACTGCAGCTAAAATGCCCCTCAAACAGTTGTTTAGAAATGTTTTCCATAGGTATAGATAAAATTTATTATGAATACCTTTTTTTATTTGTTTACAATGTTGTTTGCACACAATATTTTCACATTAAAGAAAAACTGGGTATGGTACTTGAATTCATAGTTGTTTTTTGTTGTGGTGGTTGTTGTAGTCTAGAAGTTATGAGATCTGAGGTATGCTTATTTAGAAATACTTGGAAGGTGATCTGTTTTCAAGAAAATGTGAAGTAGCAGAAGAAATACCAGCTTTTGGACTGAGGTGGACCACAATTTAAAACTTGGCTCAACCACTTTCCCATTGTGGTGTTTTAGGCAAATGTATGATAGTCTTGAATCTCTCTGTCTTGTTAAAAGTAGGGATAATAATTTCAACTTCATAGTATTTGGTGACAATTAAATAAGATGGTAAAAAGAGAACTTCATTTAATATAATACTTGTATACTGTACAAGTATTAGACATAGTATAATGTAATACTGTATATAATATAATAGTATGGCCTAATAAGTACAAAGGAATCATTCAGTAACTGCTCCATTCATCAATGAAATTGTAATCCTTTGCAAATCAACTTTGAGATGTTACCTCAGAATGGTTTTCAACAGCTGTGAATGTAGTTATATTACCCTTGTGATATTCTTGTGAGGAAGAAGAAAATGACTGGATGAGACCTGGGTATTATAAATGCTAGTAATGTTGGGCAAAATTATTAACACTTAGAAAACTGTCAGTGGAGTTTATTCAAAAATAATGCTCTCATTAAGGATTTCTGGAAGAACATATATGTATATATATTTTTTTGCTTAAAGTCCAGTTAAAATTAAAATTTACCTTTTGAGAATTAGATTTGATTTCAAAAATCAGGAACATTTTGGTTACTTCCTCTTAAAAAAAAAAATATCATTTAACTGGAGTAAGAGAGATACTCGTGTATTTTCTTTTGTACTTTAATTAATTTCAGCTTCAGGTGTATATACCTGAGTATCTTAATCATTCTATTGAGTATCATACCAATTTATCTTATAATCAGACTTCTGGCAATCTCTGTCATGTGGAATTTTGTGTTTAGAAGAAAATGGCCCGTGAGCCACATATGAGACTTAAACCTAGCATTCTAATTGTGTACGAAGTGAAGAATGTGATTTAACAGGTTTTAGCTCTGAGTTGCTCCTCATAATGGTGCCCTAGATTAGGAGCAGGGGCAGTGAAGTTTCAGTGGTAGAATTCTCACCTTCCCTGGGGGAGAGCCCTGGGTTCGATTCCCGGCCAGTACACATTGTACACAGTCGTCACCCATCTGTCAGTGGAGGCTTGCATGCTGCTTGGATGCTGAACAGGTTTCAGCAAGGATTCCAGACCAAGACAGACTGAGAAGAAAAGACTGGTGATGAAAATAAGCCAGTAAAAGCCCTGTGCAACACAGTGGTCCAATGCATAACTGTCATAGCGTGCCACAGGACCAGGCATCGTTTCGTTCTTTTGTGCATGAGGTCGTCATGAGTCAAGGGTCAGCTGGGTGGCAGCTAAGAAGAACAACATATGAAGATCAGTGATGGGGACCTGGGGCAGAGGAGGCCCTAGAAGCTTTCACTTTGCAACAACTGCTTTTAGGAAAGAGGTGCATTTTATTTAAAGTATGTTTAAAATGATGTATAATTGCTGACATATAAATTGCTCAGTGTGAAAAACAAGTACTTGAATACTTTGGCCAGTTTTTTTTTTTTTGTAAATCATGGTTTTCCTGTTCATATTCCTTTTCCATTTCCATATGTTTCTTGTTGGTTTTTAAGGACTCTTTTTTTGTTATTATGTGTGATATTTGTGGCAAATATTTTTTTCTTGTGTCCTACTTGTCTCTTAATTTTGCATAGGAACCATTTCCTTCACCATGAAGTTATAACAATATTATATTTTCTAATAAAGTTCTTTTACATTTCTTTTAGAAACGTTGGTTGTTGTTATTTGCTGTCAAATCTTAATCTATCTGTTATATGGAATATTTTTTGTGTATAGTGTGTGGGGAAAAGTACAATAATCTGTTTTCCAAAAGATAGTGGTTCCAGTACTAGTAATTGTCCCTTTTTTTCTCACTAACTGGAAATTATTACTGGTAAGAGACCTCAGTTGTCTCCCATTATAGGTCTCTCCACAGACATGGTCACTAACCTCCCTAAGAGCATGGAATCCAAAAGAGGGAGCAAGGTGGAAGATGTGCTGTCTTTTCATTACCTAGTTTTAGAAATCAGATACTGTCATTTCTGCCATATTTTGTTAGAATTGAGTCACGAATATAACCCACTACTGAAAGAAAGAGGGATTAGCCTCCCTCTCGTGAAAAGAGGATTATCAGAGTTTGTGAACATATGGTATTTTCAAACCAGTACACTGTAGATACTTATTTTGTGTGTATGAATCCAGGAAAGCTAAGGATGAGTTCATAATGTTTGACTTCTTTTTAGGATACTGCCTTAGGGAAACCACGAGAGGTGTTTCGACTTCCTGCAGATTTGACAGTGTATGACAATCGCCTTTGTGCATCTATTCATTTCACTTCTTCTACCTGGGTTACCTTATCAGATGGAACTGGAAGATTATATCTCATTGCAACAGGTGAACGTGGAAATAATGCTTCTGAAAAATGGGAGGTGAGGGTGTTACTTTGTTTGTTTTCTTAAGACTTCTTATGCAAAGTCCAGAAAGTATAAATAAATTAGATCTCACTTTTTTTAAATAACACTTTTCAGAAGATAGGTAAGGTATTATCTGTTGTTTATTTTAATATGTGATGTTTTGAATTTCTTTTTCTTTAGTTAAATTATATAATATATGTCTTTTACAGTACTGGTATGTTGACCATGGAACCATTCCTGTTTTGGTCATTGCAGTTACCAAGAGTTGCATTCATTTATTTAGGAAATATTTACAGAGTGCTTTATATGTGTAATGGGAGTTCTGGTGGCATAGTGCTTAGGGCATTTGACTGCTAACTAGAAGGCTGGTAGTTCAAACCCACCAGCCACTCCTCTGAAGGAAGACTGGGCAATCTACTTTCACAGAGATACTGCCTTGGAAACCCAAGGAGGGGTCGCTATGAGTTAGAATCGACTTAGTGGCAGTGAGTTTGTTTTTTTTGTAGTATGTGTAAAAAGGAGCTCTGATGGCTCAGTGTGTAAGGCATTTGGCTGCTAACCAGAAGGTCAGTGGTTCTAACCCACCAACTAGCTTCATGGGAAGAAGATGAGGCAGTCTACTTCCGTAAATATTTATAGCCTTAGAAACTCAACGAGTGTGGCTACGGATTAGAATCGATTCGATGGCAGTGGGTTTTGTAAAACACTCCACTAAACATTGACATTGACTTCTTCTTGAAGAGGAGTTGACCAAAGAATTACATTGGGATATCTTTTTTCCTCTACCCTCACACTAGATTTACTTGTGTGTTTACATTGGTCAAATAGTGAGTTTACCAGAGTATACCCTACTTAATGTCTTACCAAGGGCAGTTCTATACCACCTTCTAAGATACCATTTTATTTTTCTGGAATTTTTTTTTTTTTCAATTGAACAGATTTAAATCTGGAGGTTTGGATTTTAACAGTAATAGATAAGAAATTAATCTCTCCAGAGCCACGGTTTTTGAAAGTAGAAAAGAATAATGCTGAGTTTGTGATTGAAGAATGTCTTACTTTCAGCTCCTTTGAATTATACTAATAAATATATTGCTATACTGGTACAGTCTAAATCTTAGCAGGTAGCCTTTGGTTCTGGGTATATTAAGGGTTACAAGCTCAATATATTTACATCTTACAAAATATTTTTATTGTATGAACAGATGCCCACAAAAACAGGCTTAAATTTTATTTCAGAAAAACCAGTTAAGCCTTAGAACCGAGTGGTTTATCTCTCTTGCTAAAATTACACTGACTGGTTTACGTATCTTACTCAGTTGTATGTTCAAAAAACTAAGCAAAAAATTAAAAATTTAAAAAATCCACAGTAAACAACCAAAACAATAACCAGTATACGGAAACAGTTTCATTCCTAGTTTTAGATGTTATCTGAACACTATGATGTTTTCTGCACTGATCTCCAGTAATAACTATTATTTATTTATTTTTCTTTTTAAATAAGGCCATATGGTGTAGCACCACTACCTGAAAAGTTTGGAAGAGGTTTAGAGAATAATTGGCAGGATAAAGATGATTAAGAATTTATCTGCTGTCAAGCTGAGTGAGTGTATTCTGTTGGCTTTAAGGGAGAGTAGGAAAGACAAGAAGTTGTCAGTAATGGAATGGAATGCATAAAGATCGATATCACAGGCATTAATGAGTTGAAATGAAAACCAGTCGGTTTTGGTCATTTTGAATCAGACATCATGTTGTCTACTATTCAGGAATGACAGATGAAAGGAGAATTATGTTGCATTCATCATCAGAAAGAACTTTTCAAGTTCTGTGATGAAGTACAATGCTGTCAGTGATAGGATAATATGGGTATGCCTAGAAGAAAGACCAGATAATACTACATTTAAATTTACTCATGAATCACTAAAGCCAAGGATGAAGACACTAAAGATTTTTACCAACTTCTGCAGAGTAAAATTGACCAAACATGGAGGCAACATGCATTCATAATTGCTAGTGATTGGAGTGTAAAAGTTAGAAACAAAGAAGCAGCATGGGTACTTGGAAAAAGTAACCAGGGATCACATAATAGAATTTTGCAAAACCAAGGACTTATTCATGGCAAATACCTTTTTTAAACAGCATAAATGGAAACGATACACGTGGCCCTTGGCAGATGGAATACACAGGGGAGATGATTGCCCTCTGAAGAAACAAGTAGTCATTTGCCTTCCTCCCCTTTTGTCTCCAGTGTCCCATTGCTGCTGAGTTGAACCCCTACTCACAGTGACTCTTCATGATGGGGTAGAACTGCCCCGTAGGGCTGGCAAGGCTGTCATCGTTACAGTAGCAGGCTACCACATATTTCTCCTAAGGAGCAACTAGTGGTTTCGAACCACTGACCTATCAGATAGCAGCCGAGCGCTGAACCACTATACCACCAGAAATCCTTTTTGTCTCCCATTGTCCCTTCCAAACAAAAGCAAAACCCATTCAACCAATCAAAAACCTATCTTCATGTTTCATCTCCGATGTAAGTACTTGAGGGTTTTATTTTCTCTTTCTGTTTGTGGAAACATTTAGAATGGATTCCAGAGATCTACTATTAGAATCATTTGGGCAGAAGTGCTCAAACCCTTGGGAAAACTGATGCCATTAAAGCAACCTTTTTTATTACAAGGCTTTCGAGAAGGAGTAGGTCTGAGGGAATTCCAGATAAACATTTAGGGGGAAAAAAAAGAAGAGTAACTTTTTTTTCAGTGAGATATTTTTTCAACTATTGTTTATTTCCCTTGGTATTTATTTGAAAGTCTTGTTTAGGAGTCAGTCTCAAACTCTCTCCTATTTAGTGTTCATGCTGATGAAAATCTAGAGTATGTGTTTTTCATGGCTTAATGCCTAAGGGCATTTGACTGCTAACCAGAAGGCTGGTGGTTCAAACCCACCAGCCACTCCTCAGAAGGAAGATTGAGCGAACTACTTCTGTAGAGATACTGCCTTGGAAACCCAAGGAGGTTTCTATGAGTCGAGAATGACTCAACGGCAGTTAGTTTTTTTTTTTTTTTTTTTTGGTATAAAATTATTTGATAGGATTTTATGTATCTGTTTGCTACTTAGATTTGCTTTTTTTAAAACAACTTCTGGATTGTACTTTAAATAGTATTTGTTGAATTATATATCTTTTGAAGGCAGATAGGCCATTTTGTTTTTGAAGAACAAAGTTTTACTGTGATTTGCTCTGTAATTCCTTTGACTTTTCCCTCTCTAAACAAACAGAAACTAAAACCCACAAAGAAAAAGCATGTGCATGCACATAGTCACACAAACACCCACACACAGTTTCCAGAAAGAAGGAGGGAGAAAGCAGAACTAAATGTACATGAGTCAAAGGAAGAGATGGAAGAATGAAGGTTGACCTGCCTCCTGGATCTTCACTTTTAATTCTCATTCTCATTTAGATGCTTTTTAGATGCCCAGGTGTTTTCTTTGTTTTTAAGCCAAGAGTACTGATAATTTTTCTGTTATACAAATAGATATTTTTATAAACTTTCTTCAAGGGACATTATTTAGTCTTGCCATTTTTATCTAAAGGCTTTTTTTTTTTGGTAATTCTTGTGTATCCAAATTGAATATTTGATGATCAGAATTCTGTGTATTTCCCTTTGCGCTATCTGCAGTCACGTAATATTTACATTTTTGTGTGTATATGTATATAATCTTTTTTTGTAGATTATGTTTAATGAAGAGCTTGGAAATCCTTTTATCATAATTCACAGTCTTTCATTGCTGAAAGATGAAGAACATTCAATAGCTACCCTACTTCTTCGAATAGAAAAGGAGGAACTGGATATGAAAGGAAGTGGTTTCTATGTTTCTTTGGAATGGGTCACTATCAGTAAGAAAAATAAAGGTAAAATATAAAAAATCCTAAATGTCTTTGTGGTGGTTGCCATCATTTGTAGGTTTTGAAATGCAGGGCTGTCTCTGTAAATGCTGTTTGTACTTTCTTGGGCTTTTAGGACCTGTCAGCTAATGGACTGAGTGAGATCTGTAGTTCTCAGGATTGGGTAACAGAAAGAATAGTAATGAGCTTTCATAGTCATTTACACATTTTATATAAAGGAGATGTTAGTGTCTAATTTTTTGAAGAATTTTAAATATATATATTAATATATCTAAATATTCTAGCAGGAATTTGTATATATATGTATATATAACTAAATCAATGATCTATTACAGTACAATTTAAATATAAATTAAATATAAATACTTATACTTAGCTGGACATGAGTACCTTTATTTAATTAAATCACAACATGTAAATTTAAAAAAAAAATCAAATTCAACTTTGTTGTTTCTTTCTATTCTCAGGAAAATTGTTACTTTTTCTCAGTGGCAGTGTTACCTGGTAGGGAAGAGTCCTGACCCAGGTCTGTTGGAAGCCGCCTGTCTGGCTTCTGACGGGGGCCTTTTTCCCTTGTTAATTAGGGTTCCCTTGATGGTGTGGGCTTGCTCTCTGCCAGTGCTTGGTTCTTACTGACTCACTGTGCGCATTCTCCACCCTAGAACTAAGGAAGCTTGTTTCCATGATGACTCTTCTCCTTTTCTTAGCAATTTAATTAGCTTACTCTTTTAACTGATAGTCTGAAGTTATTGATCTCTATGGAAAACTATTTTCTTTCCTGTAGCTACAAGTTTATAGTTTGATAAGGGCTCTAGTAAATGTTTGCTAAGAAGCCCTGTCCCTTTTAACAGAATTCCTCCCTTCCTTCCTTTCCCTATACATATGCATGTATGTCTTGAAAGATTTGTTCATTGAATTATTTAAGTTCCCAGGAGGAACTTTGGTTTAGGCCTTGGCAAACTGTTTCTATAAGGGCCAGGTGGTGAATACTTCAGGCTTTGTGGATTGTATGATCTCTGTGGCACAAAAGTAGCCATTGACAATACAGAAACGAATGAGCAACACGGTGTTTCAATAGCACTTTGTTTATGGACACTGACATTTGAATTTCATATCACTTTACATGTAATTAAATATTCTTTGAATTTTTTTCCCCAACCATTTAAGATTGTAAAATTCATTCTTAGTTTTCAGGCCATAAAAAATAAGCAGAGGTTCTAATTGGGGCCAAGGGCCATAGTTTGGTGAGCCTTGCTGTATGTAAGATGAGGAGTACAAGGTGGCTCTGACGACTAGCCTACCCAGAGATACACTGTAAGACTGGCCTGGTGATCTGCCTCTGAAAGGTCCCAGCCTAGAAAACCCTTCACTCCTGGGTCACCCTCAGTAACAGTAAGCTTCAGAGAGTGCAACTGCAATTTATTTTTATTAAAGGCTCCACTTTAACATCTTAAAGGAGAAATCTTCAGGCACATTCCTCCTTTTCTTCTCCAGGACACTTGGTTCTGTAATAGCTTTAGCTTAGGCTGTAATATTTCTCATCAGATTGCTTCAGGACACAGTAAGAGTCTGCTCTAGCTCCTTCACCTCCATTTCTTTCATCTCTGTGTCCTTGCCTCAACCCATTCTTCCAAGGTTATCATTGTAGAAACATTCATTCTCTCTGTAGTTAACTCTTTTTTTCCTTCTTAGTGTCTGGTTCCTCCCTGCCACACTCCCATATTACCAAATACTTGTTATGCTCTTTCTTACATTTTTAGTTTTGTTTGTGCTTTTTCAACTTAACTTAGTAGAGCAAGGTTTCCCAAACTGTTCACAGTGAAACACTTGACAGATTTTTTTTGTGGTAAAATAAGTTTGAAAAGTGGCATACAATGTTCCCTTAAGCGTTAGGCATATTGAAGTTTTAAGCTAAAGAATATTAATTACAGTCCAGCATTTCCCAAATTTATTTTACCGTGGAATCCATTTGTTGAGAATCATCTGTTATTTTTTATTCCACACATGTTGGGAATAGCCACCCAAGGAAATAAACAGTGTTGAATTTGGGGCTTTTGAAGGTACATAGGAGTATTTTGCTGCAGGTATAATCTTATACTTGTAGAGAAAGTATAAGAGTCTTTGGTTTAGTCATGAAATTCCAAGCTTATTCTTAAATATTTATGAAATGAAAGAATATAGATGAGGATTTAGTGTCAAAAGAATGATAGGAACAGACTATATTATTATTGTATTATGTGGAACTCATTGAGTGGTGATGTTTTGTTCAGTATGTAGCTAATAAAAGTCAATCCGCTTTAACAGAGTAGAGGATAAGGAAAGCTGTGGATGGATTCAGTTGAAATGTTTGAGTGCTTTTTACAGGAAAAAGTAACATATTTTCATAAAATAAATTCAGTTAATGTACCACAAGCTTTTAGGATCCAGTTAATTGTTTACATCTTTACAGGTTTAAGTGCCATTATTCACGTTTGGTGACCGTAGTCTGTAGATTTCTGAGTGTGTATAAAACTGTTTTTATTATGAACATACTTCATTTTGAGAAAAGCCCTAGTCAATACCTAGAACAGGCAGAAAAGTAATTCACAGCACACTTTTCCCCTTACAGTCAATTTGTAGCTTTTACTGAAAGATTTATCTTCTATACATACCTGCTAGGAAGTTGGAAGGAGCTCTGTGGTACAGTAGTTAAAGCATTGAGCTGCTAATCAAAAGGTTGGCAGTTCGGACCTACTAGACACTCTGCAGAAGAAAAGACAGTCTGCTTCCATAGAGATTTATAGTCTTGGAAATCCCATGGGACAGTTCTACCCTGTCCTGTAGAGTCATTTTGAGTAGGAATTGACTTGGTAACAGTGGGTTTGGGACAGTTGGATAGGCTACTGTCAAGGAAAGGATTGATCCTTCAGAAACTGATACTTACTCCAGGTTAGTCTATCACTTTCACGGTCTAGAATTCTGCTGTTCAATAAAACTGATAGATGTATTTTCTGTGTTTACTGTTCGGTATGTAGTCACTAGTCATGTGTGTGGCTTCTGAGCGTTTGAAATGTGGCTAGTATGACTGAGGATCTGAACTTTTAGATTTACTTATTTTAATTAAATGCCTACTTGTTGTAGCTAAGTTGCTACAGTATTGGTCATCATAACCTAGGGCAAGCAAATTTCATCAGACCTGGGATTTAAAAATAAAGATTTGCTTTTAGAAAATTAGGTTGTAAACATTTTATTCTTATGAAAAACACTCTTAAAAATGTGCCTTTTAGTGGTAAATTTTAAATAATTTAAATTACTATAAAATTAACATTTAAAGTTTTATTTCTACTATTTTGTTCAAAGATGATTTCTTTTCCTACAGATAATAAAAAATATGAAATCATTAAGCGTGACACTCTCCGTGGAAAGTCAGTGCCACATTATGCTGCTTTTGAGCCCGATGGAAATGGTCTAATGATTGTTTCCTACAAGTCCTTCCAGTTTGTTCACCTTGGTCAGGATATTGAAGAAAATAAGGATGAAAACATGTCAGAGAAAATCAAAGGTAATTTTCCTTTTAATCTTCATAGAGCTTGCGTATGCTCACGTACATACATATTTATGTCTGTTTTGTCTTCCTGCTCAGGTTATAGCTTCTACCAGAGCAGGACAGATGCTTAATATTTTTCCCTCTTTATATATCCCAGAAGAATGTTTTGCAAACTACACTAGTAATTGGTGTGAACAAATTCAATAATTTTGTAATTACCAAAAATGTTTTTCCAAAAGTTTGCCCTTAAATGTTATATGCTTAATAAATGTTTATTGCATAAAAACATGTCTGCATTGTAGGTGTTTATTTGAGAAGCTAGCATGTTATTGGTATTGATGGGGAGTTTGTGATTTTTAATCTTTTGAAATAAACTAAACTTTGCTTATTATTGGTGTATACTAAGGAACAAGGAGCTCTGGTAGCGTAGTGCCTAAGGCACTTGACTGCTAACCAGAAGGCTGGCAGTTCAAATCCACCAGCCACTCCTCGGAAGGAAGATGGGGCAATCTACTTCCATAGTGATACTGCCTCGGAAACCCAAGGAGGGGTCGCTATGAGTTGGGTCCAACTCCATGGCACATAACAAGAACAACAACAAGGAACAAGTTCTGCCCTTCATACTAAACTGAAAACAAGTCACAATCACTAATTTTTTGTTACATTGAATGAGTGAATGGAGGTTTTAAAAATGAAAACAAATGTCTTTAAGAAGAAATTTATATTTGTATGCAAAAAATAATTATTCTTTTAAAGCTTCTCGAAAGAGCATTTCTCCTTAATCAGTGCTGTTTGTATTTCTGATGTTTATAAACAGAGAAGTGTATTACACATAACTGGCATTTTTACAGTATTTAAGAACTGTACAGAATACTCTTAATCTACCTTTTTGTTAATTATATAAAATTTAATTTCTGTATTTTTATAGATGTTTAAAAGATAACTTATTTGAAAAATATTTGCATATATTAATGTAATACCATTTGCAAAGTAGTTTTCCTAGATGTATAAATATATGCACTTCTGAATACAAAGGAGTTGTGCTTGTTCTTTTATTTTAGCCTCTTGATCCCTGTTTTCTCATATGTGATATGTTTTTGTTTAGATTATTTCTAAGATCTCGTTCTGAATAGCTGCCAGGGTTCTCTCTTAATTATAATGTTAAATAAACTCTTAAACCTTCTCCAGAATAGCTATTCACAATTCTAGATCATCTGCCCTTTTGAACTCCTTTAGTGAGAGCTGTGAAAGAATGCTTTGATCCTTTGAACTATTCTGCTACTTAGTTCTAAGACAGGTCATAGGCCAGGTAGGATACAACATCATTACCTGCCAGTGTGGGATTGTTCTCCCTTGTTGAACTCTCACGTTCTATTTTGTATCCCTCCTGAATTCATTATTGTGACCATTCTTTTTTATGGAAACCCCTAATTCCCTCCATTTCTCTGTTTTCTTGCCATAAAACAGCCCTCACTTGATTTCTTATACCCAGTTTCTTTTATATTTTACTTGCTGTGGGATTTTACAAAAATAATGGTAAAAGGTTGTAATTTTTAAAAATTATGGCTCGTTTGTTAATTACTGTGCTTTTTTATAAAACACTCATTTTAAATATGCATATTGGTTTCATTTTCTGTAAAACTCAAGAAACTGTGTTATCTATTAGCTGTTTGGTATTGTCATAATAGTAATATAATTAGTAATATTTTCTTTACAAACCTAAAATACTATTTCTAAAGGCATAGAAAGGCACTCAAATCAGCCAGAAATTGAGAAAATTATTTAAGTATTTGTGTTCATTTGTATACTACATCACTAACTACCAGCACGGGTATTGTTTTCCCTTGTTGAACTCTCATATTATTTCTTGTAACCCTCCTGAATTCATTATCATGACCATTCTTTTTTAATGTAAACCTCTGGTTCCCTCCATTTCTCTGTTTTCTTGCCAAAAAAAAACTCTCACTTGATTTCTTATACCCAGTTTTTTTTTTGATATTTTATTTGCCATAGACTTAAATGAAAATACCAAATGGAGCTCTTGTGGCGTAGTGACTAAAGCATTTGACTGCTAACCAGAAGGTTGGCGGTTCAAACACACCAGCCCTCTGCGGAAGGAAGACTGGGCAATTTATTACCGTAAAGATTTACCGCCTTGGAAACCCAAAGGGGGCTTGCTGTGAGTCGGAATTGACTTGATGGCAGTGAGTTTGGGTTTTGGGTTTTGCTTTTAAATACATTTGAGGGAGAAACCAAAAGAAACGAAATGTGCCGCCATTGAGTCAGATCCAACTCATAGCGACCCCTCCTTGGGTTTCCGAGGCAGTATCACTACTGAAGTAGATTGCCTCATCTTACTTCCGAGGGGTGGCTGGTCGGTTTGAACCGCCAGCCTTCTGGTTAGCAGTTAGGTGCCTTAGGCACTATGTAAATGTGACTTTTCTTTAGTGCTTCTATGGCCTTTAATTTATACTGAAAGGTTATGAGCTATTTCAGCCTCTTCCATGCCCATTATTTGACAGATGTTATTCATCGAGTAATTATTATGTGTAAAATGGTTTGTTACCTATTGTACTACATAGAAAGTAAATAAAACAAAGCACTTGCCCTTCATGGAACTTACAGTTGTCAATCTTTTGAGCAGTTTTTCAAATTTTTACTCTTAATTTACACTAAAGATAATCTTACAGGCACAGGAGAGTGTATGAGAGACCACTTAAGGCAATGTGGTACCCCTAAATTAACCGTTTTTATCTTAGAAATTCATGTAGATTTTATATTCATTTCTATAATATGATTATGTTTGTTAAAGTAAATTTTTTTTAACTTCAAGTAAATGTGACAATTCAGGAAGATCCATAATTATGCTTTATCTTTGAGCATACCAAGAACCCTCAAAATTTTACATGAAATAGCTTGAAAATAATTTTTTAAAATAACAAAGCCATAGTTAGAGCTTATAATAAATTTAAATAACAAGATTAACGTAAAATATTTTACATGCATTTACTCATTTAAATGTCAACAATTCTGTGAGGTGTGAATATCCTGGTTTCTGTATTACAGATCAGGAAAATGAGGCTCGGCGATTACAGTTGTTTACCAAAATTAATAAATCGTTGAGCCAGGATTCAGGCCCAAGACGGGACAACTCTGGAGCTTTAATAGCAATATTTATTCATTTTGCATTTAAATTCTGTTTCCTTATTGTCATAGTTATAGAATGACGAATCAAAAATGTTTCTTTAGTAGCTGGCTTTCTGAGACAGGTCATGGAGATAGAGATGAAGGGAGATTATTTTACTGAAGTTCAGACCAAATATACTAACAGCCCTTGGAATTTCATATGATGTCACTTACATGCAACAAAGTTATGGAGTAGGATGGTCAGTAGCTATATATCATAAGGAAAATTAATCTCTGTGTGTGTGTTTGTGTGTGTCCTGCCAAATACATCATCTCTTGTATCACAGTTACATTGCCCCAGTGTTGGCATATCAAAGCAGCAGTGAAAGCTGTGTTATCAGACAATGGTTTTTGACATGTTTGGTATTCTTTAGAGTTAGGAATCCACTGTGTGTGTGCGCACACGCGTGTGCACACACACACGCATGTGTGGGATAGGAAGAAAAAGAGAAGGATGAGAATAAAGGATTGCTGTCAGTATCTTGTCAGTGCTTATCTTGTGGTGCCGTTAGGTAATACTGGAAGAGGAAAATGTCCAGTGCAGTTGCTGTAGCTCTTTAAATGAAAATTACCTAGAAAGATCTGTGTGTATTTTTTTATCATTGCTTTTCTATAAGCTGATTAGTAGGAAATATGCTAAGATTCTTTTAGATCATTGTTCTTCTGTATGTTATACTTTTGTATTCTATTTTCATTTGTTTTTACATAAAGCATTTTTCTTTTCCTAATAGAACCTCTTTATTACTGGCAACAGACTGAAGATGATTTGACAGTAACAGTCCGACTTCCAGAAGACACTGCTAAGGAGGACATTCAAGTACAGTTTTTGCCTGATCACATCAGCATTGTGCTGAATGGTCAGCTGTTTTTGGAAGGGAAGCTACATTCAACTGTTGATCATGAAAGTAGTACATGGATAATTAAAGAAAATAACAGGTATTTTTATAGTTTTACTTAAATTTTTTTATCAGTTTATTTTTTTATCTTTTTTTTTTTCCCCTCTTTCCAGAGTGGTTACATAGAGGTGAATACAACAATAGGTTCTTTTGCATTGCTGATTATTTCCCTAAGGAAGATGCTTAAAAGTAGAATTACTGGGTCAGAGACTATATTTGTAGTAAAAGTTAAAGTTGCTAGTATAATTACTGCTTGAAGTATATAGTAGGGCGTTGTATTACTTGCTCTGAATATAATATTAACAGTAATGGTAATGATGATAGCATTTGCAATTTGATAGGTAATGTTTTTGTTCATTTTTAAGCTTTTTAATTGGAATACTTTTTTCCTTAATTTGTTGAGTAGATAATACATTCTCATTATTCACAAGTTTAAAATACATAGAAGAGTCTATACTTGACTTGCAACTGTAGCATCACATGGCTTCCTTCCCCTGTCTCCCTGTCTCTGTATATATTCACTTTTATAAGGACACCAGTCATATAAGATTAGTACCCACCACTCTATTTTCGCCTAACTAGTAACATATTCAAAGATCCTTTTTCCAAACAGGGTCATATTCACAGGTATGGGGGTTAGGACTTCAGCCTATCTTTTTGGGGACACAATTCAATTCATACCAAGGCCCAACAGATCTGTAATGAAAAGATAACCCGATTTTTTAAAAAATGGTCAAATGATTTGAATCATTCACTTCACAATAGAAGATAGATGAATAAAAAATGCATGAAAAGGTGACCAATATAATTAGTCATCAGAGAAATGCAAATTAAAGCCAAAGTAAGACAACACTGTGTGGCAGAGGCTACTAACATAGAGGCATCAGATGTTGATGAGAATGTGGAGCTACCAGCGAGTCATGCGTTGCTGGTGGGAACGTAAAGTAGTATAGTCACTTTGATAAACTCTTTAGCAGTTTCTTATCAAATTAAACATATATTTCCTTTATAACTCAGGAGTCTGCTCCTAGATATTTACCAAGGAGAAAGGAAAACAGGTGTTAAAAAACAAAGCCAAGAAAAAATTTGTACAAATATGTTGTTAGCAGTTTTATTCATAAAAGGCAAAAAAAATGAAAACGTGATCTTCAGAAGGTGACTAGATTAGCATGTTGTGGCGTTATAGTGTGTTTATATGATGGAATTCTAGTTTGCAATAGAAAAGTGAACTACTGACATATATAGTATGAATGACTGAAATACAAAGTGAAAGAAACTGCATTCACTGTCATCTAGTTGGTTCCGACTCATAGCAACTCCTCCTTGGGTTTCCGAGGCAGTATCTCTACTGAGGTAGATTTCCCAGTCTTCCTTCTGAGGAGTAGCTGAAGGGTTTGAACCACCAGCCTTCTGGTTAGCAGTTGAATGCCTTAGGCACTATGCCATCACAGCTCCCTGAAGGAAACCAGAGCCAAAAGAAAATTTACACTAGAATTGGTAAAACTAATCTAAGCAACAAACCATACCAAACTCACTGTTGTCCAGTCTGTTTGACTCAAAGTGACTCCCCCGTGGGTTTCCGAGGCAGTATCTCTACTGAAGTAGATTGCCCAGTCTTCCTTCCGAGAAGTAGCTGGTGGGTTTGAACCACCAGCCTTCTGGTTAGCAGTTGAATACCTTAGTCTCTACGCCATCACTGCTCCATGAAAGAAACAAGCCAAAGAAAAATTACATAGTGTATGATTGCGCTAGAATTGGTGAAACTAATCTAAGCGACAAACCATACCAAACTCACCGTTGTCCATTCTATTTGACTCATAGCGACCCCTCGTTGGATTTTCAAGGCAATATCTCTCCGGAAGTAGAGTGCCCAATCTTCCTTCTGAGGAATGACTGGTGGTTTTGAATCACCAGCCTTCTGGTTAGCAGTCAAATGCTTTAGGCACTACGCCACCAGGGCATCCATTAGATTGTTGTTGTTATGTGCCGTCAAGTCGGTCCCGACTCATAGCAACCCCTCCTTGGGTTTCTGAGGCAGTATCACTATGGAAGTAGATTGCCCCATCTTCCTTCCAAGGAGTGGCTGATGGGTTTGAACTGCCATCCTTCTAGTTAGCAGTCAAGTGCCTTAGACACTATGCTACCAGAGCTCCCAGAACTAATCTAGGGCAATACAAATCAGGATAGTAAGGACTATCTCCCTATACCTATACTTCTAGGGTGTAGGGAAGTTAACTGGAAAAGGGCACAAGGGAACTTTCTGGGATGATGGAAATGTTCAGTAGCTCCATTGAGTTACACAGGTATGTATTTGTGAAACTCAGTGAATTCTGCACCTGAAATATGTGAATTTCCACATTTATAAGTTATACCTCAATAAATGGAGTATATAGATTAAAAAAAAAAAAGGTAAACATAGGTTTTCTTTTAAGGTTGTCTTATAAAAATAGAATTCTTCACTTTCACTACCATGCCCCTTCATGAATCTATTGTCCCAGATACTTCACTCCCAGTCATTTGTAATAATGTGATTATTTTCTTTCATTATCGATCAAGCCTAAGTAATTATTTAATTCACTGATGGGTTAATTAATTTATTAGACACTCAATTTAAAAAATGGTCAAATTTGGTCAGAAAATGGGTGTTTGGTTGATTTGTAAAAGAACCAAATCGTCTGACCAGCAGGTTAAGTGAGATGTTTTTATGCTGAGTATAGTTCTTGAGTAGTAGAGTGACCATGTAAGTCTTTGATAAAAGTCTAGATCATGAATATCTAAGAACTATGTACCTAATTCAACAAGTTGTTTAAGCTTTAGAAGCTGGTATCCTGGCTTCATTTTATTAGTGGAGATATGATGACTTAGATACATTTTTAAATATATCATATGAAAAACTAAGTTATTGGAAAGGGTCTTTAAAAAGCGTATCTCCACATATTTGATCATATTTTAGGAATGGGTGAGAGATTTGAGGGCAGCACTTATAATAGGCAAATCAGCTAGAACATATTGTTAAATGTGAGTCATTAGGCAGTAGCCTAGCAAGAGCTGGACCTCATGAAAATAGTTTCAGCATTTAGTACATGAACATAGACCAGTATTGTTTTTCCACTAAATCTGAGTGCTAGATTAGTGTTTTATGTTACAAAAGATAATAATTACAATAATATGTAGGTGGGGTCATTAGTTTAAAAACACGTAATTTTCTGTACTTGATTATTCATACCTCTATTTTTGAAGTAATTAGTAAGTGTTCTTTCTCACTTTGGAATGATTTGTTAGCAAGTCCGGTTTATTATGTATGGTATTATATGTTCCTTTTTGCTTGGATGTAGGACAGTACTTTTAAAATGCAGAAATGCAGTTATGCTAAAAGGATTGTATAACTGAAATTATGTGAACTCTTTCACACCTTTTTAGGGAGCAGCTGTCTAGGGACAGCATTTATACATTCTTGCCACTGGGTAAAAGTTCTTTAATAGTTGTTCATATATACTTTTCTGGAGAGGCAGAGTAGCACGGTAGTGAAGAACGTGGACTTGAAGCCAGATTGCTTTACTGCCTTGTGACTTTGTCAGGTTACTTAACCTCTAGTTCCTTTTTTCTCACCTGTATAATGGAGATAGTTATAGTACCTCATTTGGTTGTGGTGGACATTAGACAAATATAAGCTGCTCTTGTCATCATTATTACTACTATTATTTCATCATCATCATTATTACCAAGATTAGCTCTCTCCTTAGAAAATATTACTGAATTTGAGCATTATTAAGTGTGCTGGCAATTTTGAGTGTTAATGATAGGACCATGTATTATGTAAGCAATATTTTATTTTGTGTAGTCTCTTAAAATAAGTAGTTCCAGAAAATTTGAAGTGTTGTAATTAATTCATGAAGTGGTGAAAATAACAGCCTTGAAAAAGAACAGCTGATAGTTTATATGTTCTGTTTTATAACTATGATGAGAGTTATTATTGAAATCGTTTACTTGCAGTTGTGTTTCAGGGTAGGGGTTAGTATGGTGCACGTGTTCCGAAGATGACACATGGGCGGGGTGCTTTGCTCTGTGGAGCAGCTCGCATCACCTCACTCTTCTCTGCGTTTAGGCTGCTTCTGAAGCGCTTACTTGAGTTTCACTTCCTATTCAAGAGGAACATGGCCCCAACTGTCTTCTCCAATATCCATAGTCTGCCTGGCCCAGTTCTCTCCCTTTATGCTGCTGCATCAGTTCTTGATGTTAGTTCCTTGATAGGCCCGTTTAGTACATTTGGAATTTGTATTTAACAGCTTAAAAATATTGCATTAGATTTTAAATAAATTAGAAGGGACCATATATATATTTTTAAGTTCTTTAAAATGTGTATTTTCAAACAGTATTTATATTGTTTTAACTTGTGTGATTTTTAGATTAATAATGGAATCTTACTATTTTATTATAAACTGTGCAAATTAAATTGTTGACTTCCCATACAAACAGGTACCCTTCAGCTATGGGTACATTCCAATTAACTTTACATTACCCCTTCTCCCTACCCTACACCCCTAAAATGTCTGATAGATTTGTGCATATTATTTCAGTTCAGTAACACAGCACACACTGCAGCTACACAGTGCTTTTCGGAGTGATACTGCTTTTTTTGGTCGTTGCCTTCTTCAAGTCATCCTTCACATTCGTACTAACAGATTTTTCAAAACTATATTTATGATAGTCTTTTGAAGACTTTCTCACAGTTCTTCCTTCTTTCTTTATTAAATATAAATTGTTCAGCCTTTGATTAAAGGTTTTTTTTTCTTTTTATCATATGGAAAGCTAAAATAAGCAAGATTTTTCAATCATCCTCTAGACACTGGAGAGGTAATTATTATGGAACATGCTTTTTATGTGTTAACAACTGTGTAATTTGCATTGTTGCTTAATGTAATATCATTTTTTCCATTTAAACTTCTAGCTTGGAAATTTCTTTAATAAAGAAAAATGAAGGTCTGACATGGCCGGAGCTAATAGTTGCAGATAAGCAAGGGGAATTCATAAGGGACTCAGCCCATTGTGCTGCAATAGCTGAACGTTTGATGCATTTGACCTCTGAAGAACTGGTAAGCAATTGGAGTGTTGTTATTATGTGCTGTGGAGTCGGACCCGACTCATAGCGACCCATCCTTGGGTTCCGAGGCAGTATCACTATGGAAGTAGATTGCCCCATCTTGCTTCCAAGGAGCGGCTGGTGGGTTTGAACCGCCAGCAGCAGTCAAGTGCCTTAGCCAGTATGCTACCAGAGCTCCCAGCAATTGGAGTAGTGTGACTTTATTTTGCTTTTCCTGTTTTAAAAGACATAGGTCAGGTACTACTGACCTAATGTTTGAATATGGCTTAAAGTTCTAATGTTTGCTCCTTACATTCTGTGAATACACATGTAAATGTGTGGGTATGTATATAAGGTATGTGTGTATGTGTATGTGTGTATATACGTATTGATTTATATAATTATGTGTGGGTATGTTGTACAGAGTGTGTATGTATGTATGTGTGTGTATATAGTCTATGTCTATATTGCTCTTGTATTTATTCACCTTTGAAGAGCTGAACTGACCAATGTTGATGGGAAGAAGTTATAATTTTGCAGTCTGCATTATTTATAAGCCACTTATCATAATTTGAAATTTTCTGTGTAATCTTAGAACATCACAAGGTAACATATATATTGTATGTTGTTGTTATGTGCCATCAAATTGGACCCGACTCATAGCGACCCCTCCTTGGGTTTCCAAGGCAGTATCACTACAGAAGTAGATTGCCCAACCTTCCTTCTGAGGAGTGGCTGGTGGGTTTGAACAGCCAGCCTTCTGGTAAGCAGTCAAGTGTCTTAGGCCCTACATAATCAGAGCTCCTATATACTATATAGAGTGCAGGTGTTTTTATTGAAAAAGAAATTCAGTGTGACAATGATAATGATGGTACTACTGGCTTATAAGATAACATTAAGAGTCTGAACAAATGTACCAATACAGTAGAATTTCAGTTAGATATTCATTCATGAAAAATTGTATCAGTACGTGTATAGTATCTGCTTTATTGCCATTTTAAATTATAGTGATGAGAAAGATAGTATGAAGAATTAGTATACAGGCACACCTTGTTTATTGAGCTTCACTTTATTGCACTTAGCAGATACTGTGCTTTTTAAAAATTAAAGGTTTGCATTGAGCTAATCTGTTGGTGCCATTTTTCCAGCTTCATGTATCTATGTCACATTTTGGTAATCTCACAAGATTTTTGACTTTTTCATGATGCTACTTACACACTTAATAGACTATTGTGTAGTATAAACTTAACTGTTATATGCTCTGGGAGACCAGAAAATTCATGTGGCTTGTGTTATGGAAACATTCACTTTACCACAGTGCTATGGAATCAAACCCACATTGTCTACAAGTTATCCCTGTACTGGGTTAGTTGCATTCTAAGATAGAAAGAAAAGAAAAGATGAGAATGTTGAAAGTGAGAGTCTGCCGAAAGAAAACATGGTCACAGTTAAGAAACCAAGTTTCATGTTTGCCAGCAACAATTGGAAATTTCAGCAATAACAGGAATTCATGTATAGGACTATAAAACTTGTATTTCATAGCCTTGTTGTCATAATGAACCATGCAGGCTATGTTGTCCTTGAGCGTTCATTCAGCAAATTGTGGTAGGTTCTGGAAATACAATAGTAGTGTATTCCTAGGGACTCATTTTATGGTTGTATATAATTGCTGCTAATTACATTGTAAAGTTGATGGCTTCAAATGAGTATTAATACTTTTGAAAAAGTTATATATACTGTGCATTTGTTACATTTTGTAAAGACAAATAGAATCATGTCATCTGCATGTAAAGACAGTTTTGTTTTCTGAAAACTGCATGAATCATAACTGTATAGCTTTGCCTATTTAAAAAATAAACACCCACTGTAACTACTGTACAGATCAAGAAATAAAATAATACTAGCACCTCAGAAGTCTCTCATTTTTCCTTAGAATATTCTCCCTTTCTCCCAAAGGTAACCATGATTACCTTTCATCATCATAGATTAGTTTTGCCAATTTTTTTTTTAAATATAAGTCATGCTAAAGCCAAAGATAAAGAACTTGAAGAGTTTTACCAATTTCTGCAATGTGAAATTGATCAAGCATGCAATCAAGATACATTGATTATTAGTAATGATTTGAATGCACAAGTTGGAAACAGAGAAGAATCATTTATTGGAAAATATAGCCTTGGTGTTAGAAACGACAAAAGAGATCACATGATAGAATTTTATAGCCTATTCGTTGGAAATACCTTTTTTCAACAACTTGAGGACCTTGCCAGATGGAATACATAGGAATTGAATTGACTACATCTTTGGAAAGAGAAAATGGAGAAATTCAGTTTCATCAGAAAGCCAGGAGCTGACTGTGGAACAGACCTTCAGTTTCCCATATGCAAATTCAAACTGAAGCTGAAGAAAATTAAAAGAAGTTCATGAGACCCAAAGTACGACCTTGAGTACATCCCACCTGAATTTAGAGACCATCTCAAGAACAGATTTGACACATTGAACACCAATGACCAGACCAGATGAGTTCTGGGATGATATTAAGAACATCATACATGAAGAAAGCAAAAGGTCACTAAAAAGACAGGTAAGAAATAAAAGACCAAAATGGATGTCAGGAGAGACTCTGAAACTTGCTGTGAAATGGAGAATAGCAAAAATGAATGAAAGAAATTATGGAAAAGAACTGAACAGAAGATTTCAAAGGGCAGCTCGAGAAGACAAAGTATTATTTGGAAATGTGCAGAGACCTGGAGTTAGAGAACCAAAAAAGGAAGAACATGCTCAATATTTCTTAAGCTGAAAGAACAAAAGAAAAATATAAGCCTCAAATTGCAACATTGAAGGTTTCTAGGGATAAGATACTGAGTGATGAAGGACACCTTAAGGGAAGATGGAAGGAATGTATAGAGTTTCTCTACCAAAAGGAATTGGTTTATGTTCAGCTATTTCAGGAAGTAGCATATGATCAATATGATGGTATTGATGGAAGAAATCCAAGCTGCACTGAAGGCATTAGTGGAAAACAAGGCTCCAGGAACTGCCAGAATACCAGTTGAGATATTTCAAAAAACAAATACAGTGATGGAAACACTCACTCGTCTATGCCAAGAAATTTGGAAGACAGCTACCTGGCCAGCTGATTGGAAGAGAGCCACATTAGCGGCCATTCCAAAGAAAGGCAATCCAACTGGATGCGGAAATTATCGAACAATATCATTAATATCACACACAAGTAAACTCTTGCTGAAGATAATATAAAAATGGTTGCAATAGTACATCAACAAGTAACTGCCAGAAATTCAAGCCGGATTCAGAAGAGGCTATAAAAAGAAAGATGTTATTGCAGATGTCATATGGATCTTGGCGAAAGCAGAGAATATCAGAAAGATGTGTACCTGTGTTTTGTTGATTGTACAAAGGCATTCAGCTCTGTGGAGCATAACAAACTGTGGATAACATTGGGATAAAATGGGAATTCCAGAACACTTAATTATGCTCATGCAGAACTTAGAGCCAATCATCCAAAACAGTATGAAAGGATACTATGTGATTTAACGTCAGGAAAGGTATGCGTCAGGATTGCCTCCTTTCACCATACGTGCTCAGTCTGTATGCTGAGCGAAAAATCTGAGAAGCTAGACTTTATGAAGAAGAATAGGACATCAGGACTGACAGAAGGTTTATTAACAACTTTCAGTATGCAGATGACACAACCTTGCTTGCTGAAAGGGAAGACTACTGAAAGTGTTTACTGTTAAAGATCAAAGACTGCCATCCCTCAGTGTGGGTTACACCTCAACATAAGAAAACAAAAGTCCTCACCATTGGACCAATAAGCAGCATCATGATAAGTGGAGAAAATACTGAAGTTGTCAGGGATTTCATTTGGCTTGGATCCACAGTCATCATACATGGAAGCAGCAGTCAAGAAATCAGACAATGTATTGCATTGGTAAAATCTGTAAACGACCTCTTTAAAGTATGAAAAAGCAAAAATGTCACTTTGAGGACTTAGGTGCACTTGACACAAGCTGTAGTGTTTCAGTTGCCTTACATACATTTGAGGGAGCTCTGGTAGCATAGTGCCTAAGGCACTTGACTGCTAACCAGAAAGCTGGCAGTTCAAACCCACTAGCCACTTCTCGGAAGGAAGATGGGCAGTCTACTTCCGTAGTGATACTGCCTCAGAAACCCAAGGAGGGGTCACTGTGAGTTGGGTCTGACTCGACAGTACATAACGACAACAACATATATTTGAAAGCTGGCAGAGCTTAAGGAAGACCAAAAAAAGAACTGATGCATTTGAATTATGATGTCAATGAATATTGAATGGACTGCTGTGTCTTGGAAGAAGTCTTGGTAGCAGTACAGCCAGAATGCTTTTTAGAAGCAAAGATGTTGAGGCTTTGTCTTATATATTTTGGATGTGTTATTTGGAGGGATCAGTCTCTGGAGAAGGACATCATGCTTGGTAAAGTACAGTGTCAGCCAAAAAGAGGAAGCCCCTCAATGAGATGGATTGGCCCAGTAGTTGCAACATTGGGCTCAAATATGACCATGATCATGAGGATGGTGCAGGAACTGGCAGTGTTCTGTTTTGTTAGTTAAGTTCACTGTGAGTTGGATTCGACTGGAAGGTCTGAATAACAACATCACACTATGTACTTATTGTGGATTGTGACTTTGGTTGCCCCCAAGGAGCCAGGCATCCTGAATGTTTTTGTAAGATTGGTATTACTTCCTCTCAGTGACTTAGGACTTTCCAAGTAACCAGCTTTGGTTAATGGGACATTAGCAAGCATGATATAAGTGGAGTCTTGATAAGTATTTTCACATCATAGCTTCATATCTCCAGTGTTCCCTCTGCTAGGCCTTCATGCTGCTCACCACTTGGAGCGATCCATATGGAAGAACACTGAAGCCCCTGGACTACAGCCCTAACTGAGCTCTTAGCTGGAGGTGTGCACTAACTGCATCCATTGGAAGGAACCAGCTCTTCTTGTGCCTCATTTGATACCACGTGGAGCAGAGGGATTGCTTGGTCAAACCTCAGAATCACAAGAAATAATAATTTATCATTGTTCTCAGCTGTTCAGTTGTGGGGTAACTTTACACAAGACAGGATAACTGAAATACAAATTGGTACCAGGAGTTGTGGGGTGTGTGTTGCCATAACAAAACTAAAGTGTGCCATTGAATTTTGGGACCAGGCATAGGGCTATTTTAGTTTCCTATTGCTGCTATAACATTACCATACAGTGACTTAAACAACATAGTTTAAATGAATGCAAACCCCTTGTATTAACAAAGAATAGAAAAAGTCTAATAAATATTTTTACCCTAAATTAAAGGATTAGGGCTAAAGTAGATTATTCTTTTAAAGGATAAGTGTGAAATTCAAATTAAAGCATCATTTCTGTAATGAAACTAGTGTGTTTCTTCAAAGAAAATTCTAAGATTATACTATATCATCTATATAAAGTATAGTAAAGGCAGTCTCCATGATAGCACAACCCATTGTAACACAAATCTTGGTAAGATTTTCTCCCTTGATTCCTCTTCTGTACCCAGCTCCCATTTTCAAATGGGGAAAGAGTAAATATTTTTCCCTGGGTTGAGTATGTGTATGTGTATGTATGTGAGGGGAGGATGGGTAGGATCATGGAAGAATGGGCATAACTTAGGTGTGTCTCTGGAAATGAGAGATGTGGAGGGTATGTTCTGTATTTTCCTGGACGTATATCCTTGGTGAATCTGACAAAAATGGGCAACAGTTAACCAGGAGATTGTTGGAATTGTTTTGTCAACCAGCACAGCAACAAGAATAGGAACAGTCTTGTCATACCAGGTGACAATTAGTCATACAGTGTGACTCTGACTCCATATCCCAGTTGAAGCATGAACAGATATTTTAAATTTTTTAAACATTTGGTGGTTTGGGTGAAAATTTATAGAGTAAATTAGTTTCCCATTCAACAGTTTACAGACATCTTGTTTTGTGACATTAGATACAATCCTTTCAATGTGACTGTGTTCCTGCCACTTCTTCCCTGCCTTTCCCTTTTCCATTTGTCCATATTTCCTGCCTCTGGACTTTGTTTTTGTGCATATTCTGCCCTTTTGTCTCATACAGTTGATTGTTCTGAGGAGCACATTCCTTACATGTTTTTTTTGTTCACTTTATATGCCTATCTGTTGATTGGCCAAAGGGTAATTTCCAGGAGTGGGTTCATTTCCAGGTTTGAAGGGTCTTTAAGGACCATAGTCTCAGGAGTTCTACCAGCTTCTGTATGACCACTAAGTCTAGCCTCTTTTATGATTTGGAATTTTGTCCTGCATTTTTCTCGCACTCTGGCCACGACCTTCTATTTTGAGCCCATTCATATTGGTTGGTAGTTGTCTTGGTCACCATGTAGTTCTGGTCTCAAGCAGGGAGGTTTTGATTCATGTAGTCCATTAGTCCTTTGGACTAGTTGTTTCCTTGAGTCTTTGATTTTCTTCACTCTGACCAATAGTTGTATGTTAGATGGACACTTGCAAGCTTTTCAGACCCCAGTTACTACTCACCAAACTAGGATGTAGAACATTGTCTTTATGTTATGCTAATTAACCTAGATGTCCCCTGAGAATATTATCCCCTAAGCCCTCAAGCCCTGTGACTTAGTCTCTAAAGGTGTTTGGTTATGGCTAAGAAGTTATATAAGTTTGTCCCCTATATAGCTCTACTATACACCTGGATATATTTGCAGTATACACACACACACACACACACACAACCAAACCAAACTCATTGCCATCTAGTCAGTTCAAGTCATAGCGAGCCCTGCTTGGGTTTCCAAGGTGGTATCTCTATGGAAGTAGATTGCCCAGCCTTCTTTCCCAGGAGTGGCTGGTAGGTTTGAACCGCAGCTTTCTTGTTAGCAATCAGATGCTTTAGGCACTGTACCACCAGAGCTCCCACATATGTGTGTGTGTGTATGTGTGTGTATATATATATGTATATATATTATATATAATATATATATGTAGAAATATCTTCATATGTAGAAATATCCTCTGCCGAACCTATATATGCTTATGGGTTTACTCCTGTATGCTATTCTACATCTGTTCAGTGTACATGTCTGTCTGTGTATTTACTTGTAAATTATTGTTGTTTATTGCAGGATTGTATACAGAGTAGTACTTACCATTGTTACCTTTCACTGTTGTGTACCTCCCAGTGTCTACCTTTGCCTTACTCATGTGGTGTTGACCTCCACCTTGCTATATATTGCCTTTCCCTCCACCCAAGTTAATGTATGTGTACTATGTAATTAGTGATTTTACCTCTTTCTGTCTTCTATCCCTAGTAACCGTCAAAGAGTGTTTCTTTCTGTGCATAAACCTTTTTTTGACTTTTCATTATACTAGTCTCATACAGTATTTGTCCTTCTGTGATTGAGTTATTTCATTCACATAATACCTTTAGGTTCATCCATGTTGTGAAGTGTTTTGGGAATTTGTCATTATACTTTAATATTGCTTAATATTCCATTATGTGTACATACCATAATTTGTTTATCCATGCACCCACTGATGGGCACTTAGGTTATTTCCATCCTTTTTGCTATTGTAAATAATGCTGCAATGAGCATGACTGTACCTATGTCTATTTGTGTTATGGCTCTTACCTCTCTAGGATGTACACCTAGTAATGAGATTACTGATCAATTGGTGTCTCTGTTTCCAACTTTTTAAGGAACTTCCATACCGTTGTCCACAGTGGTTGTACCACTTTACAGTCCCACCAGCAGTGTATGAGAGTTCTAGTGTCCTTATACCTCACCAGCATTCATTGATTTGTTGTGTTCCAGGTCCCCCCACCCCCGATCATTGCTGTTATTGGTGGGGTGAGATTGTATCTCATTGTTTTGATTTACATCTCTCTAATGGCTAATGATCACTAGCATCTCTTCATGCATTTGTTGGCTGCTGGACAGATTTTTAATTACAGAAGTGTTCCAGAATTTTGAGCCATTTAGTTTCACAGACTCTCTAAGGTCATATCATTAAATTCTCAATAATGTAAGCCTCTGTTTTGCCAAACTAGATGTGTGGACATTTGGCAATTGCTTTACGATTGTATTTCTGGCACATGCATGTGTGCATAATTTATTGCTCAGTTATTGTGATCTATTTTCTCTGTGAGGCATGTAATACCATACAGTAATTCTTGTACTTATGCAATGCAGCATAGTGAAATTACTTTTACGATTCCATATTGTCACCATTTTTAACTTATTAGCTGTATCTCTGTATTTTGTGTTTTTGTTTATGTGAATGTATATGTCTGTGTGTCTAGATGTGTGTTTAATGGTTCTAGAGTTTACAGTGTGTGCCTTTAACTAGTCACTCACTATCTTCAAGTAATATATTCCCCCTCAATTATAATTTAAGAACTTTTTTTTTTTTTTTTGCTTGATATTCTTTGGGCATCTTGTACCTGTGAGATTATAGTTTTCATCAAATTTGAAAATTTTTCGGCCATTCTTTCTTGAAATTATTTTCTGTTTTCTCTCATCCAGTTACCCACATGTTAGAATGTTTAATAGTTTTGTAAATGCAATGGTTGTATAGTTATTTTTGTTGGTTTGTTTTGTTTTTTGCTTTCAGACTTTCTGCTTAATTTTGGGTAGTCTCTATTGCTGTATCTTCGAGCTCACCATCTTCTGCAATGTGTTATCAGCTGTTGAACCCATCTTTTTTGATTTTCAATTCAGACATTATGTTTTCATATCTACAAATTTATTTTTTTATATATATATAGTCTTCTTTATCATGTTCATGGCTTACTTTATATCTTTGATCATATGAAATGCATTTATAAAAGCTGTTTTAATGTCATTTTGGCTAATTTCATCATTCTGTCATGTCTGTTCTATTTTTTATTGTCTTTTTATTGCTTTTGAGCCTAAAATTATTTTTAATTATTGTTGTAATCTCACTGTTTCTAAGTATAAAGAAACCCATTTCTTTATCATTATTTATTTATTAACTCATTGATTTTCTTGTTTAAGAATCCAAATCCAGATAAAGAAAAACCTCCCTGTAATGCTCAAGAGTTGGAAGAATGTGATATTTTCTTTGAAGAGAGCTCCAGTTTATGCAGATTTGATGGCAATACATTAAAAACTACTCATGTGGTACGTTCTTGTTAATAGTATTTCTAAAAAGTTTTGAATTAAAGTTACTCAGATGAGAAAACTGAATGACCAGATGTATGTTTTGCAAGACACCCCGGATTGCAGTGTGGTGGCTTGATTTATTATTTACTCTGTCAGGTCCCTGAATGGCACATTTTGTGCTTGTCTTCTAATGTAAAGGTTTGTGGTTAGAACCCACTCAAAGGTGTCTCTGTAAAGATCACAACCTAGAAAATCCTATGGAGCAGTTTTACTCTGTAATACGTGGGGTCTCTGTGAGTTAAATTCAACTCAGTGCTAGTGGGGTTTTTTTTTTTTTTTTTTTGGTACTCAGTAAAGTAGCATAGGAGCTCTGATAGCATAGTGCCTAAGGCACTTGACTGCTAACCAGAAGGCTGGCAGTTCAAACCCACCAGCCACTCCTCGGAAGGAAGGTTGGGCAATCTATTTCTGTAGTGATACTGTCTCAGAACCTGAGGAAGGGTTGCTGTGAGTTGGGTCAGACTCGATGGCACATAACAACAACAACAATTGCATATCGATAACTTTCAACTGGCTTCTTTTTCTACAGGTTTGGTTTTATATACAGTTACGATCTTGCAGTTTATGATTTAAAATCTGCTTTTCTTGTTTAACATTAAACATAAGTTTTTCCCCTTGTTACTCAAATCTCTCTTCTAATGTTTGGATAAAACTCCGATGTTATTGATATGTATGTGTGTATGTGGGTGTTTAGTGGTTCTTCACGAGATTACAGTATACATCTTTAACAACTTTTTTTTTAAAATTTCTTCATTCATGATGATGTTATTTAAAAAATCCCATTGTTCTATGAATTCCTATATTCAGGGGTTTTATCTTGTAAAGTGTTATGGAAGTCAAATTAATGAGTCATAAAGTAAGATTCTTTTTGTTTGATCTTTATTGATTGGTATGCATGGTATAGGATCTTGTGTTTTTTAACTGTTGACTTTTTCATGTTATTACTTCTGTGAGAGTTTATTCATTTGTGTGTCTTAGTGTTTTTCATTGATTTGTGTGACCTATTCACGTATGGGAGGATGGTAACTTTATCATTGTTGTTAGGTGTCATCAAGTAGATTTCGACTCCTAGCCACCCATGTGACAGAGTAGAACTGTCCTGTAGGGACTTCCAGGCTGTAGTCTTTATGGGAGCAGATTGCCAGGTATTTTTACCCTTTGGAACTGATGGGAAGTTTCACATTGCCAACCTAGCACTTAACCATTTAAACCATTGGGGCTCCTCTTTTTCATTGTGACAGATGTTTTTTTCTCATTTGTTGTTGATTTTTTTTTTTTTTTAAATAAGGCTGTTTGGAGTTTAGAGCTTGGAGTCAGAGGTGGGTTTGAATTCCAGCTCTAGCACTTTTAATCACTGTGAGTTTGAGCAAGTTACTTGACCACTCTAAGTCTTAGTTCCCTTACCTAAAAAACAACTACAGTAATATCCATCTCCTGATGACTTGTGAAGATTGTTGAGTTACTGCTTTTGTCTGATAGTAACAGCTCAGTAGATATTAAGTATTTTTAGAATTAGTATATATTTTCACATACTAAAGATTTTAATTTTTATGTAGCCAGGAGCCAGTAAATGCTCCAAGGAGTAGCAGAAGGGGACCAAAATGTAATCTTCAAAACTGATAAATTATAGTATGAGCGCCGAGTTGACCTACTTACGAATCCCTAGAAGTTGGCAGATTTAGCCACAGTCACAGGTGATGCTCAAGCAGTTCAGCATTTCCTTGGTTCTCTAGCTCCTTGTAGGAAAATGTGATAGAACTGAGCAGAATATCCTTAGTTTTTCTTTCTGTAGTTACAAACCGTTGCTCATGCTGCTCCCTAGCGATACATAGATGCTTGAATGTCTTACCAGTAGAGCCTCTCTGTATTGCCCTGGATAGAAACACAGGAGTTGAGGAAGAAGTGTAATGTATGATGGAACATCCTTCCATCTTTGAAGAAACTCTGGATCTGTAGAACTGTCTATATTTCATCTTTCTCATTTTATGGGTGGATTAGGCTGGGATTAGGTATATGAGGGTTAGATGAGGTTAAAGATAGAGCCAGGATTAGAATCTAAATCTGTGGACTTCCAGTATTCTTTTTCCTGAACCACTAGGATCACAAAGTACAGAAATCCTAAACCACTATAGTCAGTTCTGTACTTCTGAACAAAATGTGTTTTTAGAGAACATTTATGATAGACTCCTATGTTATAAGAAGTTTCTAGCCTTAGAGCATTAAGAAATACATAGTTTAAAAAACCGTCATATCTTAGCTTTTAGAGATGGTATTTGTGAAACATTTCCATCATTTGTGTATATTTACTTTTTTTTTTTTTAAATCACAGTTGAATGTTCAGTCTGGTGTAAGTCTAAATAACTAAACCAAAACCAAACTCACTGCCATCAAGTGGATTCAACTCATAGCGACCCCACCTTGGGTTTCTGAGGCGGTATCTCTATGGAAGTAGATTGTCCAGTCTTCCTTCCGAGGAGTGGCTGGTGGGTTTGAACCACCAGCTTTCAGGTTAGCAGTCATAGGCCTTAGGCACTACGCCATTAGAGCTCCCTAACTCTACATAGTATATGATTAAAACTAAAGATTCTTACCTTTGTCTCAGTCAAATTAAATTTGAGCCCAAAGTTTCTTCTGCACAATTATAACATTTTTTTATTATTAGTCATTTTATATAGTAAATATAGATGAGATGAGTAAACATTGCTGTTCTAGTATAAATGGGGTGGGTATAAATGAAACAGCTCCAACAAATAAGTAAAAAGATCTGTCTTCTTTTTAAAGGCAAAGTTGGTGTTTCCATTTAGTTTATGAAACTCAAAGTCTACCTGATGAAAATAACTTCTTAGTAGTTGGCTTGTTATTGGAGGAAGGAAATGAAGTGGGCTATGATTTGGCTTTTTAATTGATACTTTCACTTTAGGAAGCAAACCAAACTTCTTTATTATGTACTTTGTTCTCTAAATCTTACATTTTTCTGAAATATTTACTTCAAGTTCATTTTTCCTCTTGATTTTGCCTTTCATTGCTGTGGAAAAATTGAAATTACCATGGTAAGGTCAATATATGTCCTTATAGTTTGAGAAAAAATACCATAACACAAAGGTCAAAACTCTATATTGTAAATGACAGATTTTCCAGAATGTAAGAATCTATGAAAGCAGTGGAAATTGGGGTTAGAATTTGGCCTTTAGAAAATAAATGTTAAAAGGATATATGAAGCAGCATAATGAAACAGAGAAATTAAATATCATTACTGAAGAAGAAAAATAATAAGATGTGGTCACTGGGGTGGAAAGCTGAGATCAGAAGGCAGATACAATTGGAAATGAATTATTTTTGTCTCTGCCTAGAGCTGTGCTATCCGAAACAGCCACTGGACACATTCAGTGGCTTTTGAGCACTTGAAATACCCATAGTCTGAATTGACATGTGCTTTAAGTATAAAAGACACATCCAGATTTAAAGACTTAACATTAAAAAAAAGTATATAAATCATTTAAAAAGTTTTATATTGATTTTTGTGTTGAAATGATAACAGTTTGAATTTGTTGGGTTAAAGAAAATATTAAATCTATCATTTCTCTTTACTTTTTAATGTGACTGCTAGAAAACTGAATATTTTATATGGGGTCATATTAAATTTTTGTTGGACAATGCTGATCTATATTGTTCAAATAAAATACATAGAGACTTCAGCAATGAAAAAGCCACAGGATATTTTAAAAAATTAAATTGCAGTGAATTTTTCAGATCTCGTGATACTCATCAGATACTGCTTACATGACTGAAAAGGCTGAAGAGTATTTGCTGCTTATAAATAAACTGATTGAGATGAGAATGAGAAGTAGAGCAGTTATGAACAAGAAATAATTCTTATAAGTTAATACTATGATAGGAGAAAAGATATGTACTATACATACTAATTTTTGCAAGTAAATGTTAAGAACAGGATCAGATGTTATAATGGAGGAAAGTATATTTAGAAAGTATCTAATTCAATGGATTCGTAAACATTTTGGTCTCAGTACTCCATGTTTCAGCTTGTTGGGGTCCTCCATATTATTATTTTTTTAATGGGGCTTATAGCTATAAAAATTTATCTTATTAGACTTAAAACTAAGGAACCTTAAGAATATTTATTAATTCATTTAAAAATAATAACTCAGTATGTGTTAGTGTAAATGACATTTTCTAAGAAAAAATAAATGTATTTTCTAAAGCAAAAAAAAATTACCAATGGAATGTCATCGTTTCATGTTTTTGCAAACCTCTTAAATGTCTGGATCAATAGAATACAGTTAATAGAATACTTCTGCACTTAAACTGTTATAATATATGTTTTGATTAAAATATATACAGACAATTCAGCTTCATTTACATGTATAGTCAGAAGAAAGTGGAGAATTTCAGTAGTGTTTTCAGATAGTGGAGTTTTGCTATTATACCCAAACTCGACAAGTGGTAATTTCTTAAAGATAAATTGTAATGTGGAATCTGAGACCATATTTCAGTGAACTTATCATACTGTTAACTTTGAAATCCATTTGTCTTTTAGAAACTTTGTTGTTGTGTATTGTTGAGTTGATTCTAACTCATGACTACCCTACAGAACAGAGTAGACCTGCCCCATAGCATTTTCTAGGCTGAAATCTTTACTGGGACATATTGCCAGGTCTTTTCTCTCACAAAGCCACTGACCTTTTGATAAACAGCTGAGTGCTTAACTGTTGCATCACCAAGACTTATCAGACACTCTGAATGGGTATTGTACCCATATATGATATTGGTCATTTGGAAATGTTAAATGCTGGTTCTCTGAGTTATGCAGATTTTCCAAATACTGATTCATTATTTGGGAGCTCTGGTGGTGTAGTGCCTAAGGCATTTGACTGCTAACCAGAAGGCTGGCAGTTCAAACCCACCAGCCACTCCTCGGAAGGAAGATCGGGCAATCTACT